TTCCTCAAGGTTAGTTCCACAAAATCCACACACACTTCTTCTCTTTGAGGGAGCGTTGTGTGCCTAAAATCGAAACGACTGGTACATGTACGGTGCTTTTGGAATAATAACTATTTTGATTCATACTTTCCCTTGTAGGGTTTTTCGTTTTATCCCGGAAGAAATTTCAGTCTTTTTAGACGAAAAGGTGTATAGTCAGTAAAACCTAACGCGACGGGGAGGAGACTATCAGAGTCGACAAACGTCAGTTTTAGTTCCTATTTCGTAAAAATCAGTTGTCAAATTCGCTTGACAAATCGTAATGTTTAAACGGTCAAACATATTGAAGTAAATGTTTGTTAATGTAATGTATAGAAATCGACCTAACGAAAATAAGGTTCGGCTGAATATTATTACGTTTTTGTATCTCTAAGTTTGAGGCTTGTCGTTCCCTTTCCCACGTCCTGCATAATACAGTGAAGTTTTCATTCTAGTATGGTATCATCTCACTATCCTATCCTATCCTATCGTTTGGCGGACACCAAAAACACTCCTGCCATGGACCGCAGGGTGAGCCGTCAACCACCCTCATCTGTTCGGCCTAACCGGAGCTCAAATTGGTTCCGGACCCAGAATCCTTCCGCCGACAAGGGATAGTGTCGATGGTACTCACGATGTAGTCACACTGGAAGAGATAGACCCTACAAACTTTCTGTGTCCTCTTCCTCGTGGAACGGCTCGGTCAAGAGCCCCTACAATTCTTTCAGCCTCGCGTGAGTTATGTTTAGCTACGATGAATAAATAACGACTAACAATAAATATAACACTACGAACTTTCGAACGAATAAACGAATAATACTCTCTCCTTTTTTTTTATGCGACTTAGTCAAGAGACAGTAACTGTGCCATACTTTTCGAACGATGTACACGGATGTCAGTCCGTGAGGAGCGAACTACCACAGAAAAGAACCGACCTTGAGTAAAAGCTAATGAGTTTTGTTTGTACTAAGTCGCTAGATATATAAACATTTCTCCACGTAAAACGTGATGTCATTCACAAAAACACAGTTAAATTGATACTACAATTATCGTGACTTTACCATATCTAATTGTGTTGTCCAGATAAGTCCTCGCACCCCAAATGTCACATTGTAGTCCTTCCCCCCCCCTCCCTATGTTATCTTATTTTTATTTTTTTATTAATTTTTATCTTATTCTCCGCCACCATTTTTCCAGATCGCGTTTCCGACATTTACTTCTTCAAACCCAAAACTCGTTCGCCGGTTTGAGAACCCACCCTTCTCGGCCCCCGCGTTATGCCTTTCACCGTGGTGTGACCGTCAAGTATATAACCGGGCTATACGACTGACGTCTTTCGCTCGGTTAAAGGGTATCTGGTACAATTTTACCGGGGGTGAAATGCGCGTCGGTCGTTTTTTGTACAAAGATGGGTACCTACGCTTATTAATAAGTTACTTATTTGAATGGATACAAACATGTCTACAAAGGAGTTGGGAAGTCTACTGTAACATAGTGACATCACTACGTAACACTATGCACTTCTTTTGGCTAACGCTTCAACACATTGTAAGTGATAGGCTAAGGGGCGGGACATCTCTAAGGGATCACAACAGAGCCGGCCAG